ATAAACAACGTCAGTTACAGTTATTATTCAACCATACAAATATACAATAATCTTGTAAGTCACTAAAAAGTTTGTCAATAAACAATATACTTTTCCCTCTGGTCGCCCCCCTCTCCCTTCGATTCGAAAAGCCTTTCAAGGCATGGGGTTCGCTCATCCCTTTTGCTAAACTTCAAATCTGAAATTGACTTTCATAGATTTTGGGATAAAAGGATTTGGGATTTCTTTGGGTTCAAGTTAGTGGTCACCAGATGGACTCCATCTTTCTCGGTTGACCGCGACTCACCCTTCGCACCCGTCTGGGTTACCCTGGAAGGGCTTCCTATCCACCTACATGACGTCCGAGCCCTAAACACTATCGGAAAACTACTGGCAAAGCCAATTCGAATTGATGGTCCTACTGCCAACTTTTCCAGACCTTCAACTGCAATAATTTGTATTGAAATTGACATTTCCAAAAAGCTACCCCAAAAAAATCTGGGTAGAAAATGGCGAAAATGGTTTTTTCCCGTCCATTTTGTATGAAAATTTACCCGCATTCTTCCAAACCTGTTCTCGCTTTGGCCACATACCTTCCCAGTGCCCCCGAGATACAAAATCAGTGGATGATGAAATACTGGTAGCCCCAGACACTGATTTTGTTGCCCATGTTCATTCGGCTGGGACGCCGAAAACAGTTGCAGCCCCTGGTGCTAAGGAAGCAACCCCTGCGGTTTTTATGCTCAAAAAACTATTTTAGGTCCCTCACATGCTTCACAAGTTTTTGTTACCCCTGTTGATTATACTGTCTATGCAGATATGGATGCCCAAAATTCTGATATTGATGCCCCTAGGAATCATGCTACTGTTATTAACTCTCCTATTGTTAAAACAGTCTGTTCCCCTGGGGATCCTGCTACAGTTTGTGTTGCCCCCGTTTTTGCGGACAGCTGCGTTACGGGTGTTGGTAACGCTGATGCTATAGTTGGTTACACTGCTGCCCCCGTTCACTCTTTAGTTAACACTGATTTGGATGTTGCCGGTAACACTGATGCTGGTTTAGTTTCTGTTGTTAACTGTGACTGATTTGGTTGTTTCAGAACACCCCTTCCGGCTCCCCCCCTTTGGCTTCAGCTGGTTACACTCCTGCCCCTGAGATTTCTTTGGTTGCTTCTGAACAACCATCCCACCCCCGTGATGCAATCCTTTGCACTGATGCTTCTGATTCATTAGGTGGTACCCCCATTTTTGAAAGATTTAGAGTCAGCTGCTAACTCAGATTTTGCTACAGATACTACTTTCCGTTTTGATGCAAATGATGCTTCATCTGTAGATAAGGTTGGCCAGCTTGACTTACTGGTTACCCGATTTGATGCTTGTGATGTTACACCTGAAACTAAGGTTGGCCAGGCTGTCTTACTGGTTACCCCTGGTGCCGATGCAGAACGCCCTTCTGATGAATTTGTGTTTGATGAACCTCCGGTGGCTATCTTTAACAAGGTGGTAACTGCAGGCGTCTTTCATCAAACAAGCGTCCCTCGTCCCTATGCAGCTAACGATGCTATTACAAGAAATGATGATCTTGTATATGATCCTTTGTGTACTGATACTACATTTGTCCCTTTGCAGTCCAGTGATGATAATATGTTATCTGAAGACACCCACAGTGTTGTTCACTCTTTTTCAGGTACCAACGAAGAAGAGAATCTTGATGGCTTTACAACGGTAAAAACAAAAAGGAATAAAAACACGAGCTCGACACTAATCCGAATTGATGAGGAAAAGGACTACCAACGATTTTATCAAGTGGGATATACCTCGCACCCTATGGTCACCAGGAGTCAGTGCAAAAAAAACCTCAAAATGCAGAGGACTATTATCTATACCCGGTTGACGAAAGGTTCGACTCACCACATAAATTGGCGGATGCTCTCAAGCGCTATATTAGAACTCACCCGGAAAGAAACCTTTTCCAACCCTATCTCCAGAAAGCTATCAGATTTCACAACAATTACAATAGGGCTATCTCAGCATCACTCGGAATTCCTACTAAAAACTTCAACTACTGATGTACTTTTATTTCCACTGTGGCTTTTGTTTTTTGTACCCTTCATTTTATTTTCCTTGTACTCTTTCTTTTAATTTTGTAACCTTTAAACTTTATTTAATAAATTAGGGAGATGTTCCCCGGCAAAAAAAAAAAAAATACCAAATCACTGCTAAGTTACATCCACTAAAAAACAACTACTTCCACATACGTACGCTACCCAGGGGCATAGCAAGGGGTGGCCAGGCTAGGCCCTGCTCCATCCCAAATTTTAAAAATGTCTATATTTTTAGTGTAAAAAATTATGTATAAAAATTTTTCCAAAAAAATCTTTTTATTTGGCCGAGTGCACTAGCTCCGCCCCTGACGCTTCCTCTAATATGCTTAAAAAGAACTGGTTTTTATGGTCACGGTCGTGAAGAGTGAAGACCATACAAACCTCCAAGGAATGCGTTTCTTTTTTTGTTGTCTCTTGTAGATGAGAAGATAAGAAGATAAACATGTTTACTATTCTCATCAGGGTCATCTGATAAATTTGGAGGCCCTTGTTCAAAATACAAATTTGAGGCTCTCGTGTTTGATCTAAATTCTTATTATACTCAAATCAATTGAATACTCATTAAATAATGCAATTAAAAAATTATATATAGCAAATTTTCCCTTTAAATAATTAATCTCTACAATTTTTTAAAGTGTTTCAATTTATGTTGGCATTATTATACGGAGTAATAGAGTATGAGTTTAGCCGCAGCCCCTAATCATATACGATAGTATACACTATTACGGAGTATATTATTATATTATACTATGAATTAATTAATTAATTTAGTGGCCAAAATATACTACTACTAGTGCCTTAAAAATATCAGAGCCTGGAAGTGGGGCCCTGTTCAGTTTAACACTTTAAACTAATTAGGGAAGCAATCGACAATTAAATTATTTCCTATTTTTTTGCATTAAAAGTCTCCAACACAACATTTGTCTTTTTTTTTCAAAAACACATTTGTCTTTAAATTCCCATTTTTACGCATCCGACATAATACGGTAAATTCCATCGTACATCCGATTGTACCGTGCGCAAGGTACAACCGGCCTTTTAATTCCCAAATCGCAGGTCATAGGTCTTCATCGCAGTTCGCATGCTTTCATCGCAGATCGTTCTCGTTGCTCGTCCTTTGCTCGCCGCCTACACAGATGACGATTCTCAACAGCCGCAACTCTCCAGCACGAGCGCAACACTTTCAAACTCCGGTTTCAACGGCGGCTCCTATGCAGCACCTGGTGTATAGCCCTAGTTGCTTCTTCTCCCTCTTTCTTGCTTTGGACTCTTCCTTTTTATCTTTTTCTTACTAAAGTTTGGTGAGTAATTTGGTCACTTATTGGCCACATGTTAGAGAAATCTAAGTTATACGTAATTCTTCAGATGTGAGCATAATAAATGAAATTATGAGCATACTAGACATTTCAAACGAGTTTTATGAATGCTCATTATGTAATTTATGTATACTCATTTGATATTAGTATAATACTCATTTTAAATGAACATATACAAATGAATATTGAACACATTAGAAATGAGTTTTATGTTAAACTTATAACGCCCAAAATGAATGAGCACACATACACAAATGAACTTTTTAATTATTTGATACTAATTTGTAAGTTATGTATGCTCATTTTGGACTAAAACTATTTAATAAACGAAAAAATAATAAACAAAATGTGATATATGAATGAAGCAGATATCATTGATGCTCACCGTTAGGCTCCTAATACTCAAAAGAAAAGGCTCGATGCTCATCAAAATTGATTCAATGCTCATTTAAAGAGAATCTGAGATTTTCACCAAAATTACAAGTTTGACACCTTCTGTACGGCTGACACCGTACAACCGGTTGTACCATATATGCTTCCCATAACTATCATCTAGTCGCATTGGTGGATATTTTTCCTTCTAGCCATTTTTTGTCATTTACTACGTAATATATATTAATATAATAATAGTATTATTCATAAACAATAATGTCAACAAATCATACTTTTACGTTTTTTTTTTCATTTTTTCATTTACCTCAGTGCCGCAAAGGCTCCCACCTACGGTGGGGTAAGGGGAGTCGGATGTACGCAGTCTTACCCTTGTACTAAAGCACAGAGAGACTGTTTCCGGATGACCCATAGTGAAAATAGCGTCCAAAATTGCATGGACTGACTGCTGCTCCATAACAAAGAAGCGCAGACAGTTTAGTGAGCCATTTTGCTTTATTCCATCATAATCTCAAGCCAAAAAATAATGAATCTTTGGCTCCTTTGCAAATGATGGAAAAATTCATACTTTTACGTATTTAGTAAAAATAATTCCTATTGGAAAAGTTCACAACGATAATCCCAATTCAACTACTTCACTGTTTCACAAAAGTAAAACAGGACTTTGCGGTCTTAACAATATTATATTTGATCTTAAACTTATTGCTATTATAAATTTAATTTAATATTAAATATTTTTTCATAAAATATAGTAGAAATATTTGAACACGTACTCATCAAATTCTCTTTTATCATTTATTTGTTATGAATATCTTATTAATATTTAATTCCCTCTTTTGATTATAATAGAGATTTCAAAGTATTTTAGTAATACCACATGAAATATTAATACCAAGTATATGATAACCATTTTTAACTTAGTCAAATTTTATAAATTGATATCTCTTATAATTTGAATGGATGATATGCTAAATTATTATGTAAAAATATATTTATATTCATATTTAAATATATTTGAATATCCAAATTAAAGCTTCATACATATTTCTTCTATAATAATTTAGTATCACATCTCATTCTTTCAAATAATAAGATTTGACTAAATTAATAAAATTATCATATACTGCGTATTAATATTTAATGTAGTTTTACTAAAATTACTTTAAAATCTCTATTACAATAATAAAAAATTATTGATAGGAAATAAAAGATAAAAGAGAACTTGATGAGTATGTATTCAAATATTTCTACTACATTTTTATGAAAAATATTGAATATTAAATTAAACTTATAGTAGGATAAGTTTAAGGTCAAGTATAATATTTTTAATTCTTATATTTTTTTGCTCATTATATCAAAATTGCAAAGAAAAATTAAAGGAAAAGTTCACATCGTTAGGTCCCGATTTTTTTTTTGTAACAATTAACTAGGTAGAATTATTTATGTGAACCTTTTCAATTTATGTGTACTAGATTATTTATGTCAATTTTGTCATTTTCTTTCTTGATTTTATTGGATAGAGCATTGTATCGACCTTTCAAGTATTGTTTAAAAAAGAGCTACTTGTAGGGAGACACTATGGGTTGTCCCATTTTATACAACATCCCTATGAAAAAACCATAATATCCCCAACCGGTCAATGTTACTTTTAAATTTAAGCGCAATTTGTAATTTTGTATATATGTGGTGAAACTAATGAGATAAACCACGAAGGTCATCAAACATTTTTCATTATTGTAATTGACAATTATACGAGCACCCTTCATTGAATCATAGGCTCATATCATCCTGTGGTGGCCATGGACAGAAAATATCTTACAGCAGTTGATAACTTTAGACCATCTATGGATAACCACTTGACTAAACATTACTAATTACAATGTAAGGTAAACAAGTCCCCCACTTTTCTCAACTACAAGTCTACAATAATAACATTATTATTATTATTATTATTATTTCCATTATAATTTGATATGCATATGTAATTATTAGATGAACAATAACCTTATATAAGTTAGTGGTCAGGAGGATATTTAGTGATTGATTTTGGTTTTTCTCTTTCCCTTGTATATGGCTGAGGCAAATGAGAAAGGAAAGAGGAACTTCAGTTTGTGGAAAGACTTTCACCTTCTGCATTCAGAACTTTTTTTTTTGCCTAGGATGATCAGGACATCATTAACAGTAATTAGTCGACAATGGATATCAGGCGGCATTATGCGTTTGGGACTGTTAAACAAGCTGGGAACACTTCAATTGTATGCCAGAACCCAAATAAGAGTGCCCCTAAAGGGATATGGCTGGGTTACGAGAGCCCTTTACAGTACACCGCCCCTCTCTTCATGACCCAGCTCACCCTTGTTTCCTTAGCATGTTTGCTCATTATGTACGCCCTCCGCCCTATGCGTCAACCCTCTATTGTCCCCCAAGTCCTTGTAAGCATTTCCTCGCTATTTATTCGTTGGAAAACATTGCTACGTTAATCTGTTGTCTGAATCAGAGTTGACTTTTTATTCCCATTTTTTATGCGTTGTCTAATGACACTTGCCAGATTAGATGTTTATATTTAATTATTAAGACTTGTAATTTCATCATAAAGTCAAGAGTCTTTATATTTTGATTGGTGATCGATGCAGAAGACCGATTTACTGAAATTCTGAAATCATGGCTTTTTAAGTTTTTATTGGATCATTGATTGCGATTCGCAAAGGGGTAAGATGAAATACGAAGTATATTTCTGCATCTGGAAGTTTACGCGTCGAAAATTATCCCTCATTACTTGCATACTAGACAAGAAATCCCATAAATTTATTTTAATTTCATTGGTCATTTTTGTTTTGGCAAATGTATTGAATGTGTCATATTTTAATGATGATGGCATTTGAATATATGTGTAATATTTTCTCTTGTATTATAACTAGCATCCTTTGATTTGAACTTCTTTATATGGATGAATTTGTGATGCAGAGTGGCATACTTTTGGGTCCATCGATCTTGGGACAATTTGAGTTCTTCCAGCAAACGTTTTTCCCAAGGAGGAGCCTCATGATATTTGAGACGATCGCCGGATTCGGAGTTGTGATCTTCCTCTTCGGAGTTGGGGTGGAGATGGAGACCAAACGGATGTTCAGACCGACCCGAACCGCTGCAGCCTTAGGCATTTTCGTGATAGTGGGTTCTTGTTCATTCATGATCCCCCTATCCATATTGCTAACTCGTTTTGTCCAAATGGATCCCAGCCTAAAAAACACCCTCCCCTTCATAGCAGCGTCCCAATGCACGGCTGCATTTCCCAGCGTCTGCCCTTTCCTCAAAGACCGCAAAATCATCAACACAGATCCGGGTCGGATCGCCATATCTGTTTCCCTGTTTTCTGAGGTTCTTGGGATGACACTGGCCATACTGAACTACTCCTTCCAACCACTATTACAGAACCGGGTCGGCCACCCATTCTTGAACTCCATCGGGGGACTCTTGTGCGTACTCTCTTTTATCTTTGTCCTTGTCTTTGCGATTCGCCCTATAATTGTAAGGCTTCTGATCCGCCTCCCACAAGGGAAACCAGTAGGGGAGTCTTGCGTTATGTGTTTTTTCATATTTTTCCTAGTGTGCGGGTTGTTCACTGAGGCTATCGGTCAGCATTTCGCTGTCGGAGCATTGTCGGCAGGCATAGTCATCCCTCCGGGTCCACCCCTGGGTGCAACCATAATAAAGAGGTTGGAGTATCCCATTGCAATGTTCTCCTACCCGACGTTTCTAGCTGCCAGCGGACTGAAAACAAACATTTTCTTTATCCAGCCTAGGAGCTTGCTGGTTGTATCTATTGTGGTGGCTTTCGCAGCCTTATGTAAGGTTGTTATAGTGATGGTCATGGGTAGGTTCATGGCTATAAACATCACAGATTCGGTTATCATTGGCCTTATGCTAAACGCAAAAGGACCAACTGAGCTTATCCTATTCAACCTCTGGAAGGACATTAAGGTGAGCTTAAAAGTTGAGTATATTAAATTCTTCACATAATTGCTATAACTTTCACTTTGCATATATATTGCATAGATGAAATATGTTATTGATCAAATTGGATGTTTTTTACCAGAATTAATCAAATGTGGTTCATCAGATTTAAATAGGACAAGTAGAGTCACGTTTTTCCTTTTAGTAAAAGAACTATGACAGATAAGAATTGATCGCATTATTTTTTCTTGCATAGAGCAATTACTCCGTACAAGATAAGAATTATGTTAGGGTGACGAGAGTAGGTTTCAGCCCATTACATGAGTAATTTTTCCCATTACTTTTTAAAAGCAATTCCATTAATGAATCTGAAACGGTTATATTTGAACTGAGCAGGTTCTCAACGATGAGGAATTCGCCGTAGCCGTGGCGGTCTGTGTGGTGGGAGTCATGGTGGTGCAAACGCCATTGATATGGTTGTTGCAGAAATCTGTGAGCCAGAGAACTCCTTTCAAGAGGAGAACAATACAACACCTCAAAAGGGACATGGAGCTAAGAATACTAATAGCCATCCAAGATCAAGAAATTGTTCCTTCCATCGTGAACATCCTAGAAGCTTCTAATGCGTCCAATGAGAGTCCTATTGCCGTCATAGCTCTCATCCTCGTCGAACTCGTTGGCCAGGCGGCTCCAATCCTCATCGCCCACCAATCCTCCCACCGGAATCTCCACGTGGACACTTCCTCCTCCACACAGATCATTAATGCCCTGAGACAGTACGAGTTCAGCAACGAGTCCAACGTGACCGTCCAGCCCTACACGGCCGTGTCACATCCAGAAATCATGCATGATGATATTTGCAGGCTGGCGGTTGACCAAAATGCCACAGTTTTGATCCTCCCGTTTCATAAGCGTTGGGCAATTGACGGGTCTATCGGAACAGTAAACAGGGCCGTGCAACATATGAACTGCAAGGTCATGGAAAAGGCCCCTTGCACTGTTGCAATTCTGGTGGATAGAGGAATTTTAACCGGTTCCTTGACCATTATAAACAACCAATCCATGTACAACGTGGCAATGATCTACATTGGTGGCACTGATGATGCAGAGGCGCTATGCTATGGTGCGCGAATGGCCAGGCACAATAATGTCAATCTGACCGTTCTCCGTTTTCTCTTATTCGGGTATGGATCAAATTCCTGATTACGTTGGATTAACTCATCAATCCATAAATCTTTAAAACCTGCATTTATAAATGTTCTAAACAGGAATGATAACGCCCGGGAAAGAAGATTTGACAATGACATTATAGAAGCTGTTCGTTATGCTAACATTGGGAACCAGCACTTTAAGTACCACGAACATGTGGTCAGGGATGGGGAAGGATTCGTGGCTTCGCTTAGGAGCATGGAGGATGTCTTTGATTTGTTGTTGGTGGGGAGGTCCCACCAGGATTCTCCGCTGCTAGAGGGGATTGGGGCATGGATGGAATGCCCGGAGCTCGGGGCGGTCGGGGACTTTTTGGCATCATCGGATTTCAGTAGCACTGCATCACTGCTGGTGGTGCAACAACAGAGAATAGGAGGGAAGTTGGTTAGTAGAGCTACGAAGCCGGTGGTTCACAACCACGATTTTGGTGTGTATGATAACACTTCATCGAGGCATAGTGGGGCAGCACCCTCTTCTGCCGCCGGTGAATATCCCAGATGGGATCATCAAAGAGATAGATGTGATAGGGTTTAGTGATATTTGGTGCCTTTGTCATTTTGTACAGGGAGCTAACACAAATAGAACTTGTATAGTTTTTAGTTGTAGTGCCTGTTTTAGTATCAGTTATTTTCTACATATCCTGATATCCATTCTTTAGTTCTTTTTCTTTCAGCTAATTAACTGAACATATTTTAGATTTTCTGTCATTCCATCCACAACTTCAACATATTCACTATATTCAACAACTTGACCACTTCTAAGTTCTAACCTGATTACCCAAATTAAAGAGTATACAGCGTATTTAACAAAATATCATAATGTAAGATATTAAGAACAACAACCAGTCTTTAAAATATAACCAACATTTTTCTTGATTTTCAAAAGTGACTACTTTAAAGCAGTTCATAAAAAAATCACTCCGTAGTAAAAACAATTGAAGAAAAGATGTTATAATAGAATAAGAGATCTCAAATGTAAAAGTAGTTTATAGGAATTATAGATCAATGCTGTGCAAAATGGATTTAGCACTACGATATCATTCGTAAAATCATATATACACAACATTTTATGCATTATGTCATTCTTTTCACAACCTATGAGAGAATGACATAATACATAAATACATAGTCACCTAATCTCTTTGTGGGGTTATTTCAAAGATACAACAGAGAACAATCAACTTTCAGTACCTTGTGTCCTTGTGTGCTCCACCAGTTTCTCTTGCAGCTTCTGTTTAGTCTTCTCAAGAGCTTCCTCTAAACTCTGCATCTGCATATGGTCATTCATTTCAGTGTTGCAGAAGTGAATGGCATTTTCACACACACAGACATATATCACAGTCGATTCAATCCTGGATACTGTTATTTACCTGCTGCCTTGCAAACCTATTATGAATGAATAGCCCGCTAAACAGATCAAAACTGTTTTTAACAGTGCTCTCCTTCTACAAGTAGTTCATCTAAGAATTAATAGTCTGTGGATACAAAAAATACAAAGATTATTGGAAGAGATATTGTGCCTACCACTTCAACAAGCTTCTCGAATCCCTTAGTGTCCAGGGCTGTTGTCTCAACATCCATTTCTGATAGGATCCTGCTTCGAGGGAAGACATTTTACCAACTATTCCAGTACCTCTTATACCTCTTCTAGCAAATATGTTGTAAAAGGAGTTGTTTGTGATCCTTAGAGCCTTAGAGGGGTTAATTAAGGTAAAGCAGGTCTAAAGAGGTATTACTTCTTTAAACATTGTGGATTTTGAAATGCTAAGAATTCTAGATAGCATATTAAAGAAATAGATTATGTATTGATAAAGCTCCATTGGATAAAACTAGAAGCAAACACGACCATCATTTGTTGTTTCCATAAAGTACAACTCATTTCTCCTAACATAAGCATTTTTTAACTACTCTCAGACTTTTTTTAGATTGAACACTCACACTTTTAGCATAAAAATAGGAAACTCCTATTTGTGCACATGATCCATGTTTTACTCCTATTTTCAGTAATTTGATTTCTCTCAAATGACTACTATCCACACACTCAAGGAAAGGTGTGTTTGGATATGCAACTATGCAAGTATTTTTACCACAATGCTAATATGAAGTAATATATACGAGTATATAACAATTAACTTGGGTTAATTTGCCCCGTTTCTAACAATCTCACTTTCCTGTTACCTCCCAATAGTGTGAGTTAGAAATTGGGTGCGAGCAGCCAATTTGTCGTGCTCTTCACAGCCCATTTGCAGCATTCTACAACCCTGTCCGGACCCACTATTGATGCATTAGAGCGACACTTTGAAATTCTACTTTCTAAGACAAACTGACAAGGTGGTTTGTCTTACTTACCTCACTAGAAAAGATATGTAAGAAACTGGAACATAGAGCTTCATCTCTTATACGGACTCTATCGTACATAAAGGGCAGATCTTTCCAACCATATTTCCCACTCTGTGGTCCAAACATTGGGTGTGTACATAACAAGTCTGACTCTGCAGGAAGCGCCTTCCATTCCATGGGATACATAAGTAATTGTGTTAAAGATAATCACACAGATTTGGTTAAGTGTAGAAGATAAGGGAGGGATATCTAGTTTTTCAATTTTGATTTAACTTTCAAAGAAGATTCAATTTATGGATATTATCTTAACTTGATTCTTTTTATCATGTTACGGAGTACATTAGTATGGGTGGAAACTAGAAAATCAGTCACTTCTGAGTTCTGACATCCAAGTCCATAAGCTGATGTGTACATAGTTTATTTCAAAGAACCAACAAAGCCTATTTCTCTTACTACCTCCGTCCAGAGTTATCTTCCAAATGTTATTTTGCAGAAAATGAGAATTGTGTGGTGAAGAGTTGTGCAAACGAGAGAAATGTGTGAGAATGTGTAAGAAGGCTATGAACAACAAATTCTTTGTCAAAAAGGAAAGAGAAGATTACTTTGTGCAGCCGTGCAGGGAGTGGGAAGATAGTTTAGGGACGGGGAGAGTATGACGTTTAGAGTTTAAAAACAGAAACCAGACCTCTATATAGTTAAATTGAGATCTCATTCGTAGTTGAACCCAAATTCTTATGAGTTAATATGTTTTTTGTACTTAATTAACTTATGCCTGACACTCTTCAGCACAAAAATATAGGAATTTGGTATCAAGACTTGATTAAGGGCAATACACACCAATATTAATACTTAAATAGAGGATGAAATTGGTAAAATCTCTATACCTGCAAAAGAAAGTCTCTGGGGTATTCTTTGACTGAGAGGACATCCACAAAGAGAGTGGGCCGTTTCAGAGAATTGAGTGGCATCGACTTGATTACTTCTGATAGAGACAGGATTGAAGTGCATATCAATACCACTTCATTGTCTAGTTCAAGAAACGTTCCCATATCCCTATAAACAAACAACACCAGTAAAATATTTTGATAGTTTGCTTTTGCATGATTAGAAAGAAATGGAAATAATACATCTATTTCTACTAGAATATCTCCTAATCAATCATACTGCTTAGTCGAAATGTGACTTGCTTTTACTGTGCAGATAGTATTATCTACCTGTGAAATGGAATGCCAAGTTCTCGGCAAAGTTGAGAATGATCTGATCTTGAAGTGGCGCATAATAAATGACCTTGTTTGATCATGGTTTTTGATAGGAACTGTCCGAAAGAGCCGAATCCAACTATACCAATTCTCAAGGCTCTGGCGGAGGAGGACGGATCTGCAGCAGAAGTCATAGTGATCTTCACTCTTCAGCGTGGGAAAGAGAGAGGGCTATTAGTATTCATACGGAGTATAATGGATAAGTCAACTGATCGAGTTGTGACGGATATGGTAATGAACTAGGATCCATTTAAGGAAAATGTTGTACGATGTCAACTGATCCGTGGACATACAACTTTTTTCTGTGTAATGGATAAGTCAACTCTTTTCTCAAAACAAAATATGTTTTCACACATACTCCGTAATAAATTTTGTTTTTGCGAAAAATGCTTTTCTTCGATAAATAAAAAAAGAAATTGTACACAAACAATCTGACTAGCGTGTAAAATGACATGTACAACTAACGTGTACGTGAAGCATTGTTGTTCATTTAAGACTTGGGGACATGTTTGATTAAAAAGAATGGTGAGCACGAAGTTTTCAATTTTCTCTACCTTAATTCCTGCTTTGCGCAATTGCACGGATCATGATTATTCTAAAATAAATATTGACCAAGAAATTAAGTACTCGAAAATATACTAAGTACGGAGTATTATATATTGAATGCATTTTCAGTAATGGTCAAAAAACCAAAATTATACACATTAAACGATTAAATTCGAAGTTTGAACCATAAGAATTTATATATGAAACAACATGTATACATAGACATTTGAATAACATTTATATTCATTGTCTAAAAAATACATAATATATCGCATATTTTAAATATATATAGAGAGAGAAGTCTTCTCCTCCGACCGGTTCGGAGGAATGCCCTGTCCGGCCACCTCAATTTGAGGTGGTTCCAGGAGGTATTTTTGGCTGAAATTATTTGTGTATGTTCCTCATCAAGTCTAGTTCATTCAAATCAAATTTGAGGAAAAAAATCAATCGGGAAGGTCATCAAATGATTTTTGCATTATAACTGGTCCGGATTATACATATAAAACGGAGTTTTCATGCAAAAATTATTTGATGATCTTCCCGGTTGAATTTTTTTCTCAGATTTGGTATGGATGAACTAGACTTGATGAGGAACATACACAAAACAGTTCAGTCAAAAATACCCTCGGAACCACTTCAAATTGAGGTGGCCGGACAGGCCGTTCCTCCGAATTGGAGGGAGGTGAATATTTGTGTGTATATATATACAAATTTTCAAGCTTCGTTTCTTCTTAATTTCAAATCAATATAATATCTTAACTTTATTCGTATTGGTACTCAACATCAGCCGGCCCCAGGAAAACCCTAGACGGGCTAGCTCCTTAAGGATCTACTCTTCTGCCTTCTTCTCTCAGATTGACAAAATTTTGATGATTGCGATGTTCTCTGGACATTAATGAATCAATTGTTTTGCTATGTTGTCTCATTTTTTATTTCTATCTTTTAGGGTTCTGGTTTTGGTCCGACATCTTATTTGGTCGAGAGTTATGACCACTTCATGTGAGTGTGTGTTTTGTTCTTCTCCTAGCAATGTCTAGAGGTTGTGTCTTCCTCGTCGGTGTAACCGATCGAGTGGATCATAATTCATGGTTGGCAAGATAGATTCAACTTAGTTCTTTTGAAGCTTCGATTACCCGTTCTCCTCCTGAACCACCGTCTCACTCGAAAAAGAAGATAGCGTTCAACTACATATTCTTTTCGGTGGCTGGTCAAACTGATGATTCAGACAATTTCTGCTCAATTGAGTTTCCTTTGTTGGTTGCTGGTCAAAACAATTTTCCCTTTGCGATGGCTGGTGGAGCTGTGTCTTTTAGTTGTAATTTTTTATTTTCTCTATGGAGTAACAAGAAGAACAGTAAGTTGTTAGACTAGACTACATCACTACGAGGTTAGCGACCTCGAAGGATTCATTGAATCTTTTCTATTATATGTCTCATCTCATTGTAGTCGTAGACTATTCATTCTCTTGTATCTTTGATATGGCCATGAAGCGCACAAGGCGGGCCAACCCACACTATTTTGATCCGGAGACATTTATCATCAAATTATCGGCTGGGGTGGCCCATGATGGAGA